CTTTCAAGTGAATCTAAGGCACATAGCAGAGTGCACGACCACATAATAGACCTTCCAACGTTAAGTGTTGTCACTGACTTGAAGATGAGGACATGGTTGGAAGGTAGAAATGAAGTGAAAGAGGTGGGATTTAGGGATAGAAGTGAGGCTGGTGGGGAAGTTTTGGGGGTTGAAGTGAAATGAAGTCAGGGGACGTGAGATACAGTTGAGGATAAAATGAGGTTGGAAAAATGGGAGGGGGTAGGAATGGGATTTGGGATGAGTCTAAACATAAGGCTAAGGAAAGAGATGAGCTGGCTTTAGTGAGCTCATAGCCAACACACACACACACACACACACACACACACACACACACACACACACACCTCACGCCATGAAGCTGTGGAGTGAGAAATTTGTGTTTCAATTCAATTCAGCAGCATGACTGAGCTCTTCTGTGTTCTCAGTGCTGAGGGCAGAGATGGAAGTGTCCCAGCAGTCTCTCAACCCAAAAGGGATGAAAACTAGCAGACATGTAATTATAACATAAGATAAACTATTAATACCAGAAAGCATTGGAGTTCTGGAAGCTGAGGGGAGGGAGAGATCTTGTCTGGAAGAAGACAAGGAGGGAATCCACTGAGGCAGGGGACCCTCAGGTCCCCAGTCCCCCCAGTGCTAGGCAAGTGAGAGTCTCAGGGGGCCAAGGATCCAACTCTTTGGGCAAGTCTTACAAGGAGGGGCAGTGAACACAGAGAAGGGTGAGGCATCCACAAAGCTCAGAATCTAACTATCCCCCAGTCTGGCTGGACCTCCAGCAGGTGGGATAAAGCCTTTCTCATCCTTGGCTCCCATTCTGATGCTCTCTTCTGTCCTCAGACCGTCCCAAGCCTCCCCAGGGCCGGGTGGAGTTCCTGGAACTCTCGGGGAACTGTGTGCACATGAAGTGGAAGGCTCCGAAGGACAATGGCGGGCGGCCAGTGACACAGTTCATAGTGGAACGGAGGATGGTCGGCAAGAAGGCCTGGATTAAGATAGGCGAGGTGGACAGCAAATTCACGAAATTCTCCACCAACAAGGTAGAAGAGGGGAAAGCCTACCAGTTTCGTATCCTGGCGGTTAATTCAGAAGGAGTGAGCGACCCGCTGGAAACAGATGAAGTGTTTGCAGGAAATCCCATTGGTCAGTGAGATAGCCCCATGCTCAGTGGGAAAGTCAGGGGTCAGACAGTGAGGAATGCTAGCCTGTGGGAGAATTCCCTGGGGTCACCTCTGTAGCTATCCTATGAGACAGACAGAATCCAGAGTAGGAGCCGAACATCATCTTGGGTGGGAATTCTCGACTTTTCCCAGTCAGATCTCATGCACAACACACTCCCGTGTGTATATCCAGAAGTGCATTCAATTCCAGGGAAATGATTCCACTTGTTTCTCCATTCCAGAAATCATCCCAAATCCAAGTGGGAGTGATGTTACTTTAGAGATAACCTTGAATCTGTTCTAACTTTCCCCCAAAGAAAACCCTTGACAACATTGGCATTTTAATTATGAATGCTAATTAACTGCTTGCTGCACTCCTCCCAGTTGGTCTCCATGTCTCCATGTGTCAAGAACATCAAGAACTGTAGCACTGAGAATGACACAGTTTGGGAGATTCGAGTTGGTGATTCTCAGTCTTGGCCACAGAGTAGAATCACCTGAGGTCTTGAAAAACATGCTGCTGACTGGCCTCCACCCGAGGCCAACTAAATTAAACTATCTGGAGGTAAAACCCAGACAGTGTCTTTCTAACTGTCTAACTCTGCACTTGATCTTAATGTGCAGCCACAGTTAAGGATCATCAGGGTTTTCCCAAAGGAGGGAGCCAGAGATCAGCATAGGGTGGGCAACCGTCTACATGCTCCCCCACCAACCTCTGCCCTCTGTCTCCCACAGAACCCCCTGGTCTTGCCTCCCAGCCTCAAGTGACTGATGTGACCAAAGAGGCCATGACCATCACATGGAATGCCCCTACCCAGGATGGGGGAGCCCCAGTGCTTGGCTACATTGTGGAGCGGAGGAAGAAAGGCAGTAACCTATGGGTGCCAGTCAACAAGGACCCCATCCAAGGTGAGGTCCTAGGGAGAGAGGCCCAGGAGGACCAAGGGAGGCTTTGCTGGGTGGACCCATGGGTCATCTCTTGGTGCCGTTTTTTATTTCCTCTGCCATCCCGTGGTGTAAACATTCACCAACTGGCCATACTTGGTTCCTCTCTCCCATCCTGCTGCCCTGAACATATTCTGTTCCCCAACTCCTTTGGGGGTTTTAATAGCATCCCATAACCCCCCCTTCCATGTCCTCTCAATCTATGGTCTCCCATCTCATGGACCCCCTGCCTCATGACCCCTCAAATTCCCATTTCAGACACCAAGTGCACTGTGGATGGTCTCCTGGAGGACACAGAATATGAATTCCGAGTTATAGCTGTGAATAAGGCAGGCCCTGGACAGCCCAGTATGGCATCCAGTTCAGTGGTAGCCAAGGACCCTGTCAGTAAGTAGGGGGCTGCCAAGCCCCAACACATAGTAGAATTAGCCCATTCAACGTAGACAGTGGATTTCTTCTCTGGGAAGGTCTAACAGGGTGACCTTACCACACAGTATCCACTTTCTGGGGGCTGCCAGCCTAAGAGAGGGACAGGATTCACACCCAGAAGAAAGCCAGCAAATAAAGATTGAGAGTCAGGGACAGCGAGGAGGCAGGGTGAGAAAAGAAAGTTATCAAACTCTCAGTATTTCTGGTTAGGTGAGGTGGTGGATGCATATTTGAGGATTGGGTAGGGCTGTAGGGTAGATGGTTGGGAGGGTGCTGATTTAGGAGGTGAGGTGGGGGTACTGAACATGAATGGATGTGGTAGAGATGGTTGGGCTAAAGGCTGGAGTTTAGAATATAGGGGGATTGACGGTACAGGGTATGTTGAATTTGGAGGGTATTGACTTCAAGGGTGAAAGGGTTGATCCAGTGAGAGAATTGAATTTGGAGGTTGTTGAGTGTGCAGGGTTGGTGTGGAAAGTGTTAACTGGGAGTTGGAGGCAGAGGTGGTAGAAGTTAGGTTTTAGGGCTACTGAATGTGGGAACTGGGCATGGGATTGAGTGCAGAGGAGTCGGAAGGCTGACTGAATACCTGTGCCACCCAGAACCCCCAGGCCTGGTGCAGGGTCTGCACGTGTCTGATTCCTCCAACTCCAGCATCTCCCTGGCCTGGCGGGAGCCTGCAGAAGGAGACCCACCCTCTGGTTACATCCTTGAGATGCGGGCTGAAGACACCAAGGAGTGGTCCAAGTGCACAAAGATCCCCATCTCGGGCACCTGCTACACAGTGGGAGGCCTCACTGAGAGGCAGAAATACTTCTTCCGAATCCGGGCTGTGAACGAGGCTGGCGTTGGGGAGCCTGTGGAGCTGGAGGAGGGGATCCGTGCCATGCCACCACCAGGTGAGGATGCAGAGAGAGCTGGGGTTTAGGCCCTAACATCCTGGCCCCATACTTTCCTCTCTGGACCTCATCCCACAGGGAAAAAGTGGGTGATGCTATGATTAAGAAGTCATCCATACTTGGGCGCCCGGGTGGCTCAGTCGTTAAGCGTCTGCCTTCGGCTCAGGTCATGGTCCCAGGGTCCTGGGATCGAGCCCCGCATCAGGCTCCCTGCTCAGAGGGAAGCCTGCTTCTCCCTCTCCCACTCCCCCCTGCTTGTGTTCCTGCTCTCGCTGTGTCGCTCTGTCAAATACATAAATAAAATCTTTAAAAAAAAAAAAAAGTCATCCATACTTGTGCCTAGACAGAGCTAGGGGTGACCTGTCCCCTCCCAAAAATACGCCACTCACTGTATGCCAAATAGTACCTACTGTGTGCCAAGGGAGGTGTTAGAAATATAGGAACAAATAAGACACAGGACCTGGCCTGGAGTCTTACATACTAACAGGGGAAGATAAAGGAGAAACAACTAAATGCTTTGCAGTGTTGGGGCTGCCAGCTGTAGGTCTGACCTGTTGTGAGAGCATGGACAAGAGGCTGGGAAAGGCTCTGGGGGGAGGTTTAAAGCTGAGTCCATGGCCCCACCTCTGTCTCCTCCATCTCACTCAGCTGCCCCCAAGTTTGACCTCAGTGCCCGGCTGAAGAGTCACATGGTGGTTCGCGCTGGGACAGCCCTCTGCATCCATGCTGCCTTCTCTGTGAGTCGTTCCAGACCCTGGCCCCCCGATGCCCTCCCCCACACTTAATGAAGATGGCTGTTCTAGCTATCATAATCTCTGTCTCTGCCCCTTGCCAGACCCCTGGCACTAGAGCCTGGCAGGAGACCCCTCGACAGTGGAGTGGGAGAGGGCCTGCCCTCAAATATCACCTGGGTGACCCCAGTGCCTATCTCCTGTCACCACGCAGGGCTCACCCCCACCGAACGTGATCTGGCAGAAAGATGGCATCCCCACCAAGGGCCGGGAAACCATCACCAAGGGCAAAAACCACTCCCAGTTCCTCATCAACAGCACCAAGCGCTCCGACTCAGGGGTGTACCGCATCTTACTCCAGAATGAGTTTGGAGAGGCATACTATGACATCCACGTGCGTGTGGCAGGTACGACAGCGGGTGGAGGCCTCGAGAAGGCATCCTTGCACACACTCCAAAACAGAGCTCCCCACTGCTGCTCGAGTTCCTGACACCGTAAAGTCATGCCTGAAGGTAGTAAAGGCGTCTCTGGCGCCACAGAGCCAGACGTTATTGGCCGTTGCCTCCATGGGGAGGTTTGTTTCCACTTTTTCTCAGTGTCCGGAAGCCCTAGAGGCATTGAACTAGGACCAAACCCTTGTTTCAGTTTCTGCACTCATATCTGGTGAGCTTTGGGGGCATATATGCAAGGTATGGTTGGCAGAGAGAGAGAGCAGAAAATGAGTGGGAGGCAGGAGGGACAGGAGGAGGTGAGTCCGTTAAACCTGGAGTGAGCTCATAGTGAGGGCTAGAAGCTTTATAATCAAGCCTTAAGCCCTCTAGGGATGAAGGGATAAACTTTTATTGAACAGTTACTATGTGCCAGGCACTTTACTCAACATTTTCTGTGGGAGTTATTGTTAGCCCTATTTTGCAAATGAGGAAATGGGTCTCAGAGTTTACAGGGCTGGTAAATGGCAGAGCTGCACCTCAGAAAGTTCTTTCTGACTCCGAAACACCAGCGGCCTGAGACATTCCCCATTCCATCTTCCATGGGGCTTGGCAGGCAGCTGGGCTGGGGCACAAGTCTTCAGGCCCCCAAGGGTGGCTGACGGACCTTGTGGCTGTTCCAGATTTTCCGCGGCCACCCACAAACCTACAGCTGTTTGAGGAGGTCCCCAACACAGTGACTCTGACCTGGAACCACAGCCCTGACGTGCAGGAAGACGGCGAGGCCCACTACGTCATCCTGAAGTGGGATGCCAGTACCGCCACCTGGTTCACGGCAGCCGACCGCGTCTTCAGCAACAAGTACACGGTGACAGGGTTACTCCCCGGCAGGAAGTACTACTTCCGAGTGGTGGCCCGCAACGAAATCGGTGACAGTGACCCGCTCGACTCCAAGGATACCTGGCTTATCAACAAGGACAAAAGTGAGTGTTGGGGGACTCGGGGGTTTGGGTTATATCCCCGATGGCAGGGAGGACATAGGCGTTGCCAGGGGTACCCAAGACTTGAGGTAAAATCTGAGAACCGCTGAGGTGGAAAGGTTAACGTCAGGGATGCTGGGAAGAAAAGTAGCGACCCTGAAGCCCAGAGGAGATACTTTCTGGGTACTCTGAGGGGTGGGGGTGGGGAGGTGCCCTTGCGGTCGGGGATGACAGGGAAGGCGGGCGGTGTGCAGCTGATCCGCGGCCCTCGGAGCCTGGGGGTCCACGGGGGTGAGGGTTGGGAGGGTCTCCGAGGGTGACGTCTAGGAAGGGAAGGGGTTAAGGGTGGGGATAGGGTCGGGGAAACTTGAAATGAGCTAAGTGGAGGCGAGGGGAGATCCTGGAGGCTGAGATGACGCTGGGGAAGGCCTGGATGGGCAGTTAACAGCCGGGTAACAGCTGGGGCCGGAAGCTGGCAAGAACTTAGGACTCGCATGTCTGGAAAAGCGTAAAAACCCCCGCGCACCTGGCTTTGATCGTGGAACCGTGGAGTGACAAGGGGTGGGAGGGTGGCGGAAGGAGAACCTCGGGCACGCCAGTGTCAAGTCGGGGCCCCAGAGTTGCTAGCGCGTGGGAATGTAGCCCAGGCCACCGGGGCTCGGGGCTCGGGGCTCGGGGCCCGGGGCTCTCGGGGAGCTGGGTCTCCGGGGCGCTTTCGGAGCTCTCAGCGGGCGGGCGGCGGCTGGGGTCCCGGGCGTGCTCACCGCCCGCCGCGTCCCGCCCCGCGCAGTCGAGGACCTGAGCGCCCAGCTGAAGCCGTACCAGCAGAAGGACTGGCGCCACGCGCCGCGCTTCCTGACCCCGCTCAAGCCGCACACGGTGCTGCGCGGCCAGGACTGCACCATGACTTGCGCCTTCCTTGGGAACCCGCGGCCCACGGTGACCCTCTACAAGAGTGACGTCAACATCACGGCCAACTCCAAGTTCTGGTACAACTCCACCAGCGGCGTCTGCACGATCGTCATCCCCACCTGCACGCTCAAGGACAGCGGCGAGTTCAGCGTGCTGGTGGAGAATGAGCTGGGCAAGGACCGCAGCAGCTGCACGCTCACGGTCTACGGTGAGGGCACCGGGCAGGGCCGGCTGGGGGTGGGGAGGCGTCCCTGCGGCCCACCTGGTCCAGAGGCACGAGATGGCCATCTCTTGGCGCCGTTTTTTATTTCCTCTGCCATCCGGTGGTGTAAACATTCACCAACTGGCCATACTTGGTTCCTCTCTCCCATCCTCTGGATGTCATTTGTTATGTGCCTGGCCCCTGCAGACTTGGGAGTTTGCAATCCCTCAATAGACTGTAGTTTGCAGCCCTTGGTGGGCCTAGACTTGCCTTTGAAAAAGATACCGGTGATAAGGCCTAAACCAGACTCACCAGTCACCATCTCTGTGGCAGCGTTCTGGAGGGAATTTTTATGTTTACAAGATTTGACAAGGGATTCTGATACACAACCAAGACCGAAAACTACTGGTCTAGGATAAGGATAGATGGGAAGTACAGATGGGGGAAAGACTGAAGGGAACCTAGTGGAGAGCCTTCCTCTGCACAGGTGTGCCACACCTCCGCTCAGGTGCGTCCATGTAGGGGAACTATCTTATATCTTCCTACACACTCTACTATCTTCACAACTACACAGCAAGGAGCATGAACTCTCAAAATGCAAAGCTGACCTGCCCTGCTCCCTTCTTGCTTTAACTCCCTAACTTTTCCATGATCCTTTTGAGAAAACCCCAGCCAGCAAGGCTCCTCCTCACATCTACTTCTCCAGCCTCATCCTCTGCCACTCCCTGAACTCTCCATGGCAGTCCATTGGTGTCCTGTTGTAGGTGCCTCTCTTTGGGGCAAGTGCCACGCCCTGTCGCTGTCTCTCTCAAGTACCCAGCTAGACGTCTGGCACTGAGATGGTGCCTCCCTAGTGGCAGCGGAACTGTGTGACAGAAGTAGGCCAGGGAAGGCCTGGTGGGAGACATCCAGCTTTCATTCCACAGCTAGAGAAATCCCTGGCAACTTAATTCTGGTTGTAAGCACGTGGGCCCAGAGCCCTGGTTCCACCGCTGTCCAGCCGTGTGACCTTGGCAAACCACGCTGAGCCTGCTCTCTCATCTATTCCTTAGGGCTGTTCTGAGGCTTAAATGAGATAGTGCGCAGAAGTGCCTGGCGCGATGCTTGGCAAATATTAAGTGCTGAATAATTGGTAGCTCTTGGCCCCATACACTCAGCTGACCTTGGGAGACTGGGGCCTTAACTGTAAGTCCAGCAATTTAGAGTTTGCCTTCCTCCTAGCAACATTAACACTGACAAATACTTGTTTTGCTCTTTCAGACAAAGATGACAAGTCCATTCTAGCATCAGTCACTGAAAGTCTGCAGAAGAAGTCAAAGTACCTTATGTGAGCTCCGTCCCGGCCCAAGCATCAGGAGGACGTTGGGATGTGTGGTTTCGGGGCCTATCCTGTGTGTGGCCCCAGTGAGGGCAGCCCCGTTTGCTGTCTGGTGCTTGTCAGTGTAAACAGTCCACGAAGGCATGGGACAATAAATTGACTAAGCTCACCCCTGCCTGTTCTTGAGGGTGATGTGCAACAGGGACCAAGGACATGGACTTGGGAGTGGATGGGGACACACGGAGCATGGACTCCCAAGAGTTTAGTCCAAACCCACTCACACTGGGAGTGAGCAGCCCCTTCTAGACTGGACCTTGACATGCCTCCCCGCTCCTCTGCAGCCACACTGCACCCTCCTCTCCCCTCAGGGCAAGGGAGAGCAAGTCTTAGATAGGCTTCATCCTTCTTCAGGTACCCCCCTCCCATTTCTTCACCAGGTAGATCTGTCATCAGAGTTTTGGGGTTTGAGGGGATCAGGGCCTTGCCTCTTTAGTGCCCAGGGTTCCAACTATTTCAGAATTAGTGCATCTCAGAGCTAGAAGGAACTGGTCATCCAGCTCACTGGGTTTCAAACTTAGGTTTTACAGCAGAATTCTCCCTTTTTTTTTGTTTTTGTTTTAGAATTCTCCCTTTTAAAAAAAATCATAAGAAACTACTGGACATCAAACAAGGATGGGGGGGTCTCTGAGCCTCCCTCCTCAACTTATTCTTTCACTGTCCCCCACCAGGTATCTCTGTAAAAATCCTAGTTTGGAAATCACTAATTCAGACATCACCCACAGGGGACTGAGCCTCCTCCTCTATCCAGTCCCCACAACTCTACAACCTCTCTACTACGGGCATATTCACCACCACCCAAGGCTTCCCTTTCTGCTTCTGGGTCGGGACACTGCCCATTAAGATGCAAATGCCCCTGGAGTGGAGTGACTCCACTCCATTGTTTCGCCAGGGCTTCCCATCTAAAGTACAAATCAACCAATCTACTCTCCCTCCTCCCTGCTGTTTGAGCCCACAGGCCAAGGAGAGAGGAGAGGCTTGAAGGGAATCTGAATCATTTTGGAGCAGGTAGCGGGTCTGGGAGGAGGTGGGCAGCAGCAGAGGACACTGGGTAACTAAGACTTACCAAAGGAGGCCAGGCACCCGTGCGCAGGGCAATGTATCAAGGAGAAACTTGGATGGTGGTAAATCCTACCCATCCCCCATCCTCCTGAACTACATCCTCACCCATACACGTGACCGGGGAAGTGAGACCCACTCCAACCAGCACCGTGTCACCAGAGCCAGGGAGCCAGCCTGGCGCCAAGATGCACTGGCCAGGACTGTGACCCAGGCTGTAAGGACATCCAGGGCCCCTGGCACCATGTCCCACCCCCTCCTCTCCAGGACAGCCACATGCCACACAGGCAGACAAGCAGGAGAGACGATGGCCCTTGGTTTTTATTTTTTTTTTTTTCACATGAGCAGCAAAGGATGGAGTTGTCCCATCCTTGCTCCTTTTGCATTGAATATGCCTTAGGTCTTATGACCCTAGAATGTCATTGGAGCCCCCTCCTCTGGCTCCCAGTGCAGAAGGGGCAGAGAGGAAAGCATTGATGGAGGCAGGGTGGGGTCCCAGCTCTCTAAGCCAGGCTCAGCACCCCCTCAGCAACTCCCTGAGGCCCTCTCCCTTGTAAGACTTAGACAGCAGGACAGAGACAGATGGCAGAGTCAGACATAGACTGGGAGACAGACCACACACACACATGGAGTCACATGCACAGACACAAATACAGGCTGGCCCCTTCCTTTGGCATGGTTCACCCTAGCCCTGGGGATAGAGTCTAAGGGTGGTGGTGGTGGGCCTGCACTCTGGGCTAGCCTCTGAGAGGGATGGGACCAACTTGAATCCTTGGGAACCCAAGCTCCCAGGCCAGTGAAGTCCCCAGTCTCGCCTACCTGGACAGACACCCCTTCACCTTCCCACCAACACTTAGAAATTGAGATTGTTCAAGTAACAAGGATAGATGAAGGAAAGGGAGACTCCATTCTCATCCAATCTTCCCAACTAGGGGCCTGCAAAAGGGGCTTCAAGCCCTGGGCTTGGGTCATCTCAGCTCAGATTTCTCCTCTCTTCCCTCAACTCTGTGCAGATCAGAAAGACTGGGAGTGGGTGAGTCAGACTTTTCTATCTAGAAGAAGTGGGGCGGGGGGAGACAAGACTCTGAGCACCATCACCCTCCAGAGGGGTTTTGACAGTCCCGATGGGGTTAGAGGTGGGGAGATGTCTGATTTCAGCTCCAGCAAGGAGAATGAGGCTGGCTCTTTTTAGCTCTCAGAATTGTTCTGGACTGCTAGCTTTGCTAGAGAGATCCCTTTCCTGCTCAGCCCCTCAAACTTGTACATTTCCCGGGTGGTATCTGCTGCCCCAGGTTAGGCCTACAGCCATCCTGACCCAGTCCTTGCGGGTTCTGGATCCCTGCCCCAGGAGGAGAGAGGGGTAACTAGCCCCTGGCCTCTCAGTTGGCCTTGCTCGGTCTGTAGTCTTCCAGTGGCTCCCGGCTCTCAACAGCTGATAGGGCAACAAGCATCTGGGCAGCATAGTAGGTGGACATGATGAGTGCCCGTGAGTAGGGCACGGGGAAGCAGAACTTGTTGAGGGCGATGGTCAGGTCTGAGATGATAAAGAGCAGCGCACCGCTGCCTGCCGCCAGCTCAGTCCAGCGCCAGGCTGCCTCGACCAGCCGTAGTCCTGCCATAGCCCGCCAGCCCATGAAGCCGATGAGGGCCACGTAGACCCCCACCAGACAAGTGAAGGCACCTGAGAGGCACGGGTAGAGGAGAGCATAACACAGGCCCGAGAGCACTGCCATCACCAGACCTGTCCGCAGAGCCAGTGGCCGCATGCCAAAGGCCGAGGCGTAGAGCATGTGGGTCACAGCAAACATCAGCAGACCTAGGAGTGAGAGAGGATGAGGGGATGCTGAGGGCAGGTTCGGGGGACTAATGAGTAACAGGGCTGGGGTAGGAGGGGGGTGCTGCAGAAAACCCAGGAGCTTTTCCGGGGAGTATCACGAGTGGGAGGAAATCCACAGAAGTAAAGATACACCCTCCCTTCCCCTGAGAAACTCTAGAACTGATCACCAGATCATCTCGATGCAAGGTAATCCTCCAACAAGGGCCCCACAGTCTTTGGCCTCAGAAACCCTCAGATTCCCCGTATTCTTGTTCAAAAGCTCCCTCGCCCAAATCCTCGGCCACCTAAGACCCTCTGGCACCCAGCCCCAGGATTCCTCCCAGATAGCTACTGGGGCAACTGACCGTGCACAAAGTAACCCTGGTCCTGCCAGATGAGGAAGGCATCACCTAGAGCGGAGAAGACGAGCCCCGCCAAGATGCGGGTGGCACTGGGATGGGCCAGCAGGAATCCTAGGCCATGGGCCAGAAGGAAGAGCCAGAGGCAGAAGATGGGCAGGCACTTGATGAGGGCGCTGACCCACGATGGGCTGGACAAGGGCAGCCAGAGCACAAAATACACGCAGGTGGCCTTGAAGAAGGGCACCAGCTTGGGTCCCTCACTCTTCACCTGGAGGACACAGGACAAGGGAAGCACTCAGCACTCGGGGCTCAGAAGCCCATAGAGGTGTTCCGAGCCAGCACCCTCAACCCAGACATATACCCCCCAGAGCCAGACCCACCTCCCAAGTAGGGAGAATTGACACACAGAAAGCCAGTTTGGCCTGCCCCAACCAGCCAGCAGAGTATGAACATTCCCATCATCACCCTGAGGCTTAACTGATTAGGCAAGGGAAGGGCTCCACTGTTCCTGCTGCCCATGGGCATTCTTGGCCCAAAGCAGGACCGGAATGGTCACTCGCTGGGCAGAAAACAGATCTTGGGATAAAGTCCCCTCCTGCAGGCAATGCTTCTCCCTTTCTGGCTCCTCCCTGTCCCTCCCCAAAACCCCTTTAACCCCTCTCTGCCAGCATCAGCCACCAGCTGTCTGGAATGAAGCGGAGTCAGCAGGAAACCACAGAGACGCCACAACTGGCCAACTCGTGATCCTCCGCGGTGGGGCCAGGGCACAGGCTTAGGGCCCTGGCAACACCCGGTTAGTGCCAGGAATGTGTGAGGGTGGGCCCTCAGCCCCCACAGGCTCTCTCCTTGGCCAGCCTGCTCTTCAGCCTTCGTTCCAGCTGCCCTGAAGGGTACCAGCCTCAAGGTACCATCAAGAGCAAGGAGAGGAGATAGGGATGCTGGCTAGAGAACCATTTCAGGGATTGGGGAGTTGAAGGGGCAGGGTGTCTCTTGGTCAGTCTCATTTCCCAGAGAACAAGAGCAATTCAAGAGCTCATCAAAAAGAGAGGAAGGAAGCAGGGGAGGGGTTCTCTTTCCAGCTTTTGATCTGAAGCCAGCAGACTGGCTGGGAGGAGATGTGGAACTGAGGGGGGGAAGTTAGAGCAGCTGACTCGGCCTCAGCCAGATTAGGAGGGAGGGCAGCTAAAGCAAGGTGTGTCCAAGGCCACTTCAAGTACTCTCCAAAGCTGAGGGAGGGGGCTACTGCAGATATTCTGAATCTGTGATCCCCTGAAGCTCCTTTTTTTGGGTTTCGGGGACAGGGTCTCTGTGGGTGATCCAGAACTGCTGAGGTTCCCTGTATACACACACTCTGCCCAAAATGATTGTGACTCTGGCTGGGTGAGCTGTCCAGCACAAGGCTCTGGGAACACACTGATTCCCAGACTGCCAGGTACCTGAGGACTGATCAGACTGTGATGAAGGAGGCTGGGAAGAGGCAGATGGGTAGGTCCAGGGTCCAAGCTTGCCCTTGCTCTGCCAGGGGTGAGAGCAGGGAGAAAAGATGACTAAGTCCCTTCTTACAGAGATCTGCTCCATCCAGGCTCGTCAGGGTAGGGGCATGGGTAGAGGAGGAGATGAACAACCCCACAGTCCCCAGTTCTCTCCAGCAACCACCTGCCAGTCCTTGGAAGCATCAACCTCTGCTCCATACCCCTCCCCCAGCCCCGTATTCCCTATAGGGAGAAACAGGCCGTAGTAGTAGTAGCTGGTGAGACTTTGACAGTCAGAGAGAATCCAACACTAGAAGAGGAAGGGTGGGGAAGAGACAAAGGTTCGAGTTGAGAAAGTCTGAATAGGGGGAGATGGCAAGAGAGAATGACCCCTCTTCCTCCAGCGCATTACCAACGCTGCCTGGACTTAGGGGCGTCCCCTCCCGCGCCCCAGGCTTGTTTATAGGATGAGGAACGCCAGGAAACAAGTTTGGGCCAGGATTCCCAGGAGGTCCCAGTCACCTTCCTGCCCTTCCCCGCCCTCTCCCACGCCTCCCTGTGGTCTGCCCACGCAGAACCTGGCGGCCAGCCGCTGTCCCCTCTCTCTCCCCGGCAGCCACCCCGCCGACCCCCGTCAGACACACAGACATCAACAAAGTCACGCTTCCGAGTCACGTGCCCACTGTCTTCCTCCCTCCCGCCGGCGGCGGGCAGGGGCTGCGTGGAGGAGGGGCGCCACGGGTCCCGACTGCGGGGGCCCTTGACAGCGCCCGCCCCCGCCCGGGGACGCCGACCGCCGCGGGATCCCTGCCCTTCCTCGGCCCCCGACGGCCTGGCCTGCCGCAGCCCAGTCCCCAGGCCGGTGGGCTCCGGCCGCGCCGGACACTGGCTCGCTCGCTCGCTCACTCACCACAGTGACCGGGGACACCATGGCGGCAGCGGCGGCGGCAGCGGCTGACACTCCGCTCTGGGCTGCAGCGGCCAGGACGTGCCCGCGGCCAGGTGAGCAGGCGAAGACAAAGCCTAGGGTGACGGACAATACCTCCGGCTCGCCGGGCGGTCGGATTCCTGTCTTCGATCCCCGCCACGTCACAGCACACAGCGCCAGTGAGAGCGCTGGAGGCGGGGAGGCGGGGCGTTCGAGGCCCCGCCCCTCCGGGAACGCGGGCCAGCGCACCCCGGAACGTGACTGTTACCCCGGAGTGAGGGCCGAGCTTGGGCTGAGAGTCAAACACATTCCTGTCGTGGGCACACGGCTACACACATCTTCTCATAACCTGGGGATAAAAAGCTGATTCCCTTCAGCCTTTAAACACGCAGTTCACACGGACATAGTTACGATTAGACCCACAACCTTCATTGTGTACAAACACACATCCAAATGGACACACAATGGTCAGCGTACATACCACCTTCAACATGAAAAGAGACACATCAATAGGTCCACAGCAGCCCATAGACTCACCGTCCTCACGTATATACAAACATATACAGAATCACAATTACCCCTAGGCGTCACACAAGTCCGGAGACACAAAACCAGCAGCGGCAGGTCGACACACATCCTTCGACTTCAAAAGAGACACAAAGACAAGCCCGCAGCAGCTTACAGACCACAAATACTTCATTGCCCTTAGGCACGTGCCTCTCATAGCTCAGAGACAACTAACTGTAGCATAAGAACACATCAGGGATGACAGGCAGACGTGAGCATACTTAAGGACCCACACGAGTGGGAACTAACTTTGCCAAAATCCGGTTTAGGCAGCTTGAATGTCGAGATTACAGAGACTAAAGGGACACAGGCACATTTGGAACCGGCCTCATCAGAATCATGGGAACTAAATGGGTGGACCGGTAAGCTGTCAAATGCACTGCGATCTCCCGTCCAGTTTTGCCAGGTCCACGTTGGGTGACTGGGTGAATCACGTGCCCTCTCTGGCTTTGATTTCCCCATAATCTCATAATAAGCGCATAATCTCTAAATTTCCTCCCCAGCCCACATGTTGTGTAGGATGGGGAAGGAGCAGGCTGCTGGTGTTAGGAAAGTCCAGGAGGCTTCCTGGAGACAGAGATTTCAGGTACTTCTTAAAGGACGGCCTGTGGTCTTTGATCTGCAGTAGGAGGGAAGGAGCTGTCTGTCAGGCTTTGGGAATTGGGGTTGGAGGGGATAACCAGCCCTAATTAGCCCTAATTATCAACCAACAAGGAATTTTAAACATCCTGGGATGACACTAAAGCCCTGCTGCTCCACCCCAACCTGGTGCTGGGCCAGAAGAAGCCTACAGCTTGCTTTCTGTGAGCCCCTCCCACAATGGGCCTCTCTTTTTTCTTTTGGGACCTGCCCAGCTTTCCCCAAAGCCTGTGCAGACCTGACACCCACTTGGAGTGAGGAGCAGCCCTCTCTTGGTGATAGAATTGACAAGCAGAGATTCAGAGTCAGGGGCAATAGGGTGAGAATCAAGACTTGGGACTGGGGGTCACCCACAGCCTTCTCCCATCCGCTCCAAGTCCCTTCTGCATTGAGCCCCAGTGGGCAGTGAACTCCGCCTGCTCTGCTCTCTTCCTAGTCAGGGACTGTGGGCAGACCTACTTTACCAGAATGGGAGACTACAGTTGTTGCCCGGAGGGCTTGGGCTTGGTGCCACACACATACACACACACACACACACACACACACACACAAAACACACACACAACATACACACCTTCCTACAGTGTCCTGCCCAGAAAAAAGCCTGGATTGAGAGTTAGAACTACTGTACTTGGTGTTAACCTGTCCTTCTCTGGGACTTACTAGCTCTTTTAACTAGGGGCTTCACTCCATCTTTGGAGCCTGGGTTTCCTCATCAGAAAAAGGAGAAATGGGGATGGGAGACATGTGCAAACATGTCCTTTTTCCAGCCAAATCCTTTAATGTCACCTAAGGGATAGTTCTAGGAGCATGGCCAAGTCAAGGCATTTTTCATTTCTCTGGACGTTAGTTACCCTGTTGATAAAATTGAGAGGATGGGACTATAAAAGTGGTTCTTAACAAGCGACGCCTATCAAAATTTCTTGGGAAGCTTTTTAAAAACACAGATACCCTTGCCCCATCCCAGACCTACTAAGTAAGTGGCACAGATTTTAATAAGCTCGGCTACACAAATATCCAAATAGAGAAAGCATGAGGCATAGAATTTTCATCTGCAGGGCCCGAATCAATGTTTGATTCCTCAACAGGCAATAATCATAGACATAGGTCACCTGCATAGCAGAGGCATTTCCCCCCAGTGCTGGTTGTTCTCTGCCCTCTCACTACCCAGTCCCATTCCCAGCCCTTCTTTCCCCATGCCCCTGGAGGCTGACCTCTATGACTGTAACCTGGGCTCACTTGCCCTCTGGCTCCTGACTGGGTTTGGCTAACAAGAGTCAGAGGCAGATCTGAAGGTGGAAGAAGGGCATGATTGGGGATTCCCCCACCCCCACCCGCACCACCAGCTTGCTGGGCTGAGCTCAAGTTCTGGCAGTGGCTGTGCTCCTCCATGGCCACAGCTCTAGGCTCCCAGCCTGGACCTCAGGCCCAGAGAGGGCGACTTCTTCTTCCTGTCGTTAGTCTTCAGGTAGGTGCCTCTTCAGCCCCGGCTGGTTTCTTTAACCCGCCCACATCTCTGCCAAGAGTCATGACATTCTCTTCTTGAATTAAATTCTTGAGGATGCCAGCACCCTGACTGATACAGTCACCAGCAAAGCAGAGGTACTGCCCCCTTCCCAAAAAGAAAGAGCTTATGTCATTTCATGTCTATGGATAAGATTTCTTGTTTGTTTCAAAAATTTTATTTTACTGTTTAGTGTTTTTATGTTGAATTGCGTATTACAGGGAGCAGAAAGGGGGATAGGGCTGCCTGAAATCAGGCATTCCTTCCTCTCTGTACCCAAAATGACCTGTTAGCATGGCCTTTTCTTCACAGCGTTGTAATTCTTTTCTTTACTTGTCTGTCTCCCTGATAAGAATGTGAGTCCATTCATTCATCCAACAAATGTTTACTGTGCACCAACTGTGTGCTATCTACCATGTTAGATGTGGGGACTTAAACACGGCAGAAAGAGACAGGCTCTGTCTTCATGGGGCACACAGTTCAGTTCAGGCAGGCAAGTAAACAATTATCATGTAGTGCAGCAATTGCAATAATTGAGATATAAAAGTATGTTTCTGGTGACATCAGAAAGACGTCAGAATCATTCGTTGTGCCTGGAGGAGTTGAGGAAGCTGGGGCTAACTCCAAAGGGATGAGCTGGTCTTTACTGAGTAAACACCAGTGGAAATAATGTTCTAGGCAGAGGGAATTGTGTGTGCCCATAGGCGCACAAGAGACACGGTGAGTTCAGGGAAATGCCTGCAGTACTGGCATGAACTGGAAAGTGAAAAGAGTAAACCTGTAGAAGTAAGCATGATCCAGGTCAGAGGGCATCTGAATGTTCTGGCTAAGGAGTTTGGACTTGATCTCTAGATGACAGTAAGCTATTATTCCCTAGCTTCTCTGATTGTTCCCAGATCTCATGCGCCAGATACATGTATAATGTGTAAAATGATGATCAACCATCATTCTCGGCTAGACTCACTTTCTCCAATGGGGCTTCATCTAACCCAGTAGCTCCTCCATCTCTGACCCCCATGGTTTTGCCACAGGATACTTTGTTCTCATCTGGTTTGCTCCACTTGGCATTGTAATCCAGCTCTAAATTGTTTACCTTATTCTTGTGAGATCAAAAAAGATTGGGCGCATTCAGGGTGGTATGGCCATAGACAATTGTTTACCTTATTCCTGACCCATTGCTGGATCCCAGCTAATTTCTCCATGTTTGTTCCAGGCCCCCAGAACACTTTTAACCATCTCTCAGAGCCACCCCACCACATCCCATCCCACCCCTGCCCCACCTGTAAATCTGGGGAGGAAAATCAGACATTAGTGAAGAGGTATTCAAGAGGGTGTGGCAAGTTCAGGTATTTTGATAATAATGTGGGGAAGTTGGTGAGTTCTTAGGAGCAAGCTGAATGTGTGTCAGCCAAATTGAGGTATTTGGGAGGACCTGGATACAAATCTGGGGCTCAGGACCAAGGTGAAGACAGGGATATAGATTTGGAATTCATAGCCATACTGAGGCTATGTGGATGAAATTAACCAGGGAAAGGTCTTGAGGGAATAGAGAAGAAGGGCCAGACCCCTGGGGGATATGATATTTAAGAGGGAGGGAAAAAAAGGAGAACCAGGAAGGAAACACACAGATAAATAGATATATCTGGCTGTATCCAAATATACCCAGGGTGAAGTACACTCACAAGGAAAGAGACAGACACACCCAGAGAAGTATATGCTTACAGAGATGATCTGCGCTCTGTGTTTGGTTGCCTCCTTCTAGAACAGATGACAGATGGTGGTTCTGCTTCCCCATTGTAGTAGGTCAGAAACTTTGAAGACAGAGGACAATGACCCATCTCCCTTCCTGACTGTGTGCTCCATCAGTTCTTGGTCTGTGTGAGGTTCAACTCCCCCAGCCTCAGCCCAGGACATTCCTACAGGTCCCTCTCTGCATACACGAGTCAGCCTAAGAATACAAAATCTGAGTATCACCCATCCTCTGAAGACATCCATTCCAGAATGCCTCTGTCATGCTGGAGCGCACGTGGGCTTGGCAGGTGAGCCCTGGAGTGCCTGACGTAGCCTGTGATACAAGGTCTACTCCTGGCACCTTTAGGAAAAAGCCAAAGATTTTAGCAGAACTCTTTCCAGACACTCAGGGCTAAATTTTAATGCACTCTTGAGGTAATATGTGGGTCAGTGTCCCTACATTCTAGGCTCTTTGGTTGACTTCTGGGCTTATAGCCAGGCACACCTGGGTTTTTACTCCTCTTTCCTCTCCTTTGTCTATTGACAAGGGCATCATGAGGCCTTGAGACCTAAGTGGATTTCTCTGACTATAAAACTACCAAACTAAGGGTCTCCTAATGGGGTTCAATACCAGAGATGCCCCGGGCAGGATCCCTGATTTCAGTGTGGTGTGTGGGATTAGATGACCTCTAATGCCCAAGCTTCTAGAG